CAGAAATAGTGGAAAATAGAGAGAAATAGCGTTTATTATTATAAATTATTCGATCTGCAATTCATGGTTATCCCCTAGACTGTACACATAACAAATATACGATATTTACATAAAACATTGGTTTCCCATTTGTCAAAATGTAAAATGAGGTCGAAAACAATCGGGTGAACTCGCGAGCGAAAAAAAAATGTATGTCGACTTAAGTTAAACATTGCCATAAATCGTAGCTCCAGAAAATTATTCATAGCGAAAATAAATTTGACTAATTCTCTCTCTGTGTGTTTCTTCGTGTGCATTTTGTGCTGGCATTATTTCAAGTTTCGAACGAAACTTCCGCTTTTGTTTTTGTTAACTTAAACCGAACCAAAAAAAATATTTGAAAACTTTTGTTATTCAACATTGCGCTTTGACTATGTATACGGGAATTAAAACTGCACAATCACATCACATTCGCGTCATAAATTCAGGACTTTTTCATGAAATCATATTTCGAAATGAATTGGTTCAGTCTCTTTTTTCACTCATCAGATGGTGAATATAATGCAAGTGCTTTGAACAATCGAAATTCAGCCGGAACACCGATATTTATGTTTGGACAACATTCCTTCAAAAAGTTTCGAAAGAACATTTTGCGACAGAATTCACTGAAGATGACATGAAAATTCAAATTTGTCAAATAAAAATAAATAGGAGTCATTTTGAGGGGACATAGAGAAAGCATTTCATAAATGTCCTATTATAATCGCGTATCTTGTCAAGTATATCATATAACCATTATTATGATGCAGGCAAACGTTACTTCCGAATCAAATGTTTTAGTCTCGGGCAATCGTTTTATCCGGAAGCATAAAATCAAATCGTCAACAATGTGACAATGGATTTGAATACATATGAACAACATATGGACATTGGACATACCAACCAATTCTTTTTAAATCTTTCATGGATGTATTTACATGCTTACATAACATGTTAATGTTTCATATATTTGAATCTTTATGCAAGCCGGAAAGATTTTGAAAAATACAAAATCCATGCTTTAAAAGCTGTTCCAGGGAAATACTCGCTGACTACACATCTCATTTAATACATATGATTCTTATGATGATCGTTTGTTATTGTCATATATCTGGTATTCAATAAAATATTATTTTTCTAGACCATTTCATGGTGCTATTGTAACTGCTACCAAACAATCAAAGCATAAATTATACGTCAAATTATTTCACGTGTAAATTAGGACAAAAAGTGTACAATTGCAAAATGAGTGTGTAAAACTGTTTAAAGTGCAGATAACATCAGATTGTGGTTAATAAACTGAATAAGTGCGCTTAAATCTAGTACACTAGACTCGACCTCGTGACATTTATCCTTTCACAGCAAACTCATTTCAACTGAGTAAATACGACACGACTGCTCTCCATACAACAGTTTTATCGCTTTCTTATTCTTTTTTTCAAATTGCCCTAGTCGTGAGACGTATTATGCAAATATATCAAGATATACCAATTTTCACTTGTAAAAATTATTATTTACTCATTTAGATTGAAATCATTCATCTATATTGTCCTTGCCATTGCATGACTAGAGTATTTGCTTAAAGCATTTCCATTTGAATGGAAAGATGATATTTTCCGGGAACATCAAGCGTTCTATTTAACTGTACTCATTATAAATGCGCAAAGGGGAAAAATGCTAGAATTCAAATGAATTACGCAAACGAGATTGCATGAATGACGCATCAAGAACAAAAGGTAGAACATTAAGCGTTTTTTGGTGAAAAATAAAAACATATATTGGTGGCTCCACCTGCTGTGTTTGTGAGACATTTCACATGATAGTGAGTTGAAAGTTGTGCTGTCAAACTGCGTGGTCATGTGAAATGTTGTGAAAACAAAAAGTGTTAGAAGAATTTACTACATTTATTTAAGAATTTGCTACATTCCTATTATATTGGGTTGGGGAAAAAGTCTTTCGCGATTTTTTCAAAAAGTTTGAACGCATAATTTTTATATTTCAAATGAACTTTATCAAACAAAATATATGTCATATTAGTCGATAATCCTCTGCCATTTTGTGGGTACTTCCATTATTCTATCATTGTGGAACTTCTGGGCAAGTGGATGGCTCTAAGAAGAGACACATTGCGAATGGTTTACATTAATGCCATCTGTTGGCTTGTAGAGATGGGAGAGATTGTGACATTTTTGACGTAATGTATTTTACGTATTCATGTTTTTGGCAAGTCATTTGTCAATTTGGAACGTCCTGTTTCAATATCAATCAAATCACCAACCCATTTGTTAGGTTACATAAAATATTTAAAAACAAACATAAAACAATACACAGCTTTTGGTAAAAAACAAAATAAAGAGATAAAATAAACTTAAAGAATAAATTACTGATGAAAAATATATCAGTCTAATATTTATTTCTCACCATTTTTATAACGCTATTTACAGCGACTTCAAAATGCGAAAAATGACGAAATGTCATAAATCTAAATTGACAAATGACTTGTCAAAAACATGAATACGTAAAATACATTACGTAAATTTGGTTGGAGACGTCGGAGAAAAATAATATTTCATCATTTTCATCATAAAAAAAAAATATAGTTTTGTTCAAAAATTCAAATAAAATCAAATTTAAAAAATATATTATTATTATAAAGGAAAAATATATTACTTAAAATAAAAATAAATAATAAATATGTGCATTTGTGTTACGTTACATAGAGCAAATTTGTTTACATGCTAGAGATGTAAATTTAGTTGAGGGATGTCAGGTATGATGGCGCTGATTAGCGAGACTCGCATAAAAAAGTCTCCAATCTCATATATGTGTCATCCACGTGCTTCTGGGATTTCTGACCACAAACCCGAAAAATGTCATTTTTGAAGGACTTTTTTGATTTCAAATTTACCTTATGAAGCGAGTTTCACAGAGACCGAAACAAATGGTATTTTGATAGTGTAAAGTCTGAGCTATAAGGTGGATACATTAAAACTTTCCGGCAAATTTCTCTAAGTTTTTGCTGGACCAACCGTTGGCGTCATCTGACATCGTCAAAATGAAAGGTAACGCCATATATTTGGATTAATTTTGGCGATTATTTCTTAATTACTTGCTTCAATCTCACTATTTATTGGGAGTAAGAGTCATAATTTGACGTTATACCAAGAATTAGCACAAAACCATAAACGGTTCCCATCAAATTACACTTTTATCCCAACATAACCTTACTTTTTGTTAATTCAGGTTTTTGGTGGAACGTGTTGATTTCTTCGCTATTTTTTCGGAGGATATTCTCGTACGATATCCTCTTTATCTCTTCCATTAATAATCTTTTGAAAAAAGATTCGGATTCATATCATTTTCTTTGCATGTTGCAGTTTATCCAATTTTTTACCAAATCGAGTAAATCCAAACTTCGGAATATTTTTTGGGTACATCCCTTTGCAAACGGGTTAAAACTTTTTTGTGTAAAAATGTTACGTTCCTTACGTTTTAGCCGCGTTTGGTTGTAAATGATATTTCACAAATTGAAAACGGAATCGATATTGGTGGTGAAATAATCCGAGGTACAGTAGTTTTCGTAGCGTCGGATAACTTCGGAGCTAACACTTGTCTCGGATTTGTTAAAATTTTTAGCACAACGGAGTACTGCTGTCGATTTTGCACTTGTAACCGCGCTGAAATACAGACACCTTGCAATGAAATGCCATTGAAATTGCCTAGGGGATAACCATGAATTGCAGATCGAATAATTTATAATAATAAACGCTATTTCTCTCTATTTTTCACTAATTCTGCTAGTATTTCTACTAGTTTGTTCTAATACTGCTATTTTTTTGCTAATTTTTCTAGTACGTCAAAAATATTGCATACGTCAGATTGCCTGCATGATCGAATAACCGAAATGTGTTTACGTAAATGTTTCAAGTTGACACTTTCAACGAGTATATTTGAAGCAGGCACTAGCGTATACGTTTTCAGTAAGAAATCTGTCATCAAATCTACATTTCCGATTGCAATTCGTAAATTGTAGTGCTTGGTAGATGGAACGTGCTTGGTTACGTGCCATTGAATATATTTTTATTTAACTACATATTTTGATACATTTTAGCTCAACACTATTCAATTCGTTAGTTTTGTGAAATTTTATTTTAATTAATTATTTCAATAAATTCAAGAATAAATGCTTACTAAAGTATATACGTGTACAGTGCTAATTCTGCTATTTATTGCTAATTTCGCTATTTTCTTCATGTAAATTTCCCTATTTTTTTGCTAATGTGCTAATTCTAATTCGCATGGATATCCCCTAGGAAATTGCGGAACATGGATGAATATAACGAACTCATTCAAATTATTAATTCATCAACAAAGGTCTGAAGTATTTTAATATTTTTGATTCTATGGTTCCCGATATACTTCACGATATCAATGAAGGGGTTGCACCTTTTCTTTTGAAACATCTCTTCCTACTTTTAATAGGAAAAAAAGTATTTTCTGAAGACCAAATCAACGATAAAATTTTACATTTTGACAATGGACAAAAAAACCAGTGATTGTATATGCGATACTCAGTATCCGTATGATAACTGAGCAAATTCGCTGAGCTCAACGCTGCGTTACCGCAACCGTTTGTGCGGTGTTCACTCAATATAAATGAACAATACATACAAAGAAACTGTGCGTTGTATAGGCATTTGACGTTATGGGTTATGTTATTCAATGACTTTTAATTTAATTTGATAGAAATATAAACAAAAAATGATCTTTTTTTACTTTTCGTATTTTTCTAGTATTTTTATTTAAATGTTGAACTCAAAACATGATAATCTTTATTAGTTATAGCTGTTAAGTTTTTTTGAGTAGAACAAATCGAGACAAATGTCAAAATATAAATGTATGTGAGAAAATGAAAAATTTCTACTCAAGTAGAGTACGACGAATTCGTTTGTTGAATAGAATCAAATACAAAGAGATTCTTTTCACAAAAGATTGCTTCGAATTTCGTCGCAAATTTGGTTCACCACATCTTCAAACGTTCCCAAACGAGTTCCTTCTGGATCATTGGACACGCGGAACGCAAACAAATCTAAAAATGAACAGTACAAAAATGAACAGTATGATGCCTTTTAAAATATGTTTTCAACAATACCTTTTACAAATTCCAGAACACCACGGTCAATGGTTTCAACCGTTGACTCTTTGATTCGCTTCAACGTGTAGATCCCAATGAGCAGAGCCTTCAAAAATGTTTTGTCCTTTCCTTCGTCATCCCGATTCTCGTTTAGTTTTATCAAACCATTTACTGCACGTGCCGACAATGTAATTTCTTCTAATCCGTTTTGCGTTCTTATTTGGAAAGCGCGGTCACCTTTATCCTAGCAACAAAATAAAACAAAGAGTGATCACAATTCACAATAATATTTTTATGTAAAAAAATATTACTCTTACATTTCTTTTAAATGGAATGTTGTTTGACAACATATCGTTTGCCTTGATCTCATAGCCGTTCTTAATCACAATTGGTTGAAAATGAGCAGGAGAAACAAATGTAACTTCGATATCATCGTCAAGTTTTACTGTTGTAGATTTTTCGACGATTCCATGTTCAACGGGTCCGTTATTGTTCTCCTGAACTTCACCACATGTTTCCGATTCTTGACGAATATCATTGCCATTTTCTTGAGAACCGTTTTGCGATGCACCAATTTCACCATTTTGCACGTCGTTGCCGTTTGTATCTTCGCTACTTTCGTGTGACATGTTTTGCGATGCACCCATTACATCATGTTGAACCATACCGTTATCATTGCCAATTTCATTTGTATCTTCATGGTCAACAATTTCATTTTGGTCACGTAATGGATCAATAGCATCTTCGTTGAACAAATGATCGAATTCCATCTCATCGTCAGCAGATAATTGAATTTGTGCAAAGTGTGGTTTCATATCCACCTCGGATTGTTGTTCGTTCTCTTTATCGTTTGTATGATGCGCGTAAATTTCAAGGCCTGCTACGCCTGCTTCAACGGTTACATTCCGTTCTTCAGCCAACACATTGTCTCGAATATCTTCGTCGTTTACTTCGTTTTGAACGACAATGTCATGTCCTGCTACGTTTCCAATCAACATATTGTTGTGAATAATTTCGTCGTTTTCTTCATTTTGAATGGCAATTTCGTGGCCAAATTCAATAATCGGGATAGGCATTTCATGTAAACGAGCAGGATTATAAATTGCGGGCAATCGTGTTCGCAATCTTTGAGCGTGTGCTGAAGCATCATTGTAATTTTCTAAGAGCGAATTTTTAACAAAAATAAGTCCGGGCATATTTTATAACAAATATTAAATAAAATAAAGAAAAAAATGTCTTACCCCAATATTTTATGGAACGAGCAATGAAGCAAGTCTCTTGCAAACCATCTGGCAATGGAAAAATGTTTGTTGTCGGAAGATCAAAATTTGGCAAATATCCCGTCATTTCTGGAACTTCACCACTTTCAAGTTTTTCATATAAATCTTTCGAAAAAAAAACCCGACGGTTTTGGTTGGTATTTACACCATGGTTATATAAATTCACGTCAACCAACCGATAAATAAATTTTTTTGGAACCACTGTGTGGGCTCTGGCTTCAGTCAAAAAAACTGTGACGAACATAATGAAAAAATCAAACGAATTTATGTATTGAAAAAAAAAAATCCCGTTAAAATGTGATGTGCTATGGTGATGTTGACTTGGCGCTTGGGTGGTCGTAATAGAACTGAACTTGTAACAAGAGAATTATTAGTCCTTAATGTTGCTGACTGTGCATCAAAGTAGCATTTGACGTATTCTGTTGATGACCGAAAATTGATTTTTGAAATTTGCTTAACTGTTATGTTGTATGCATTGTTCTGTAGAGCATGTTCAGATTTGTCATCGCAGCAGTATTGGTAAGAATGTCCGCATGAACGTTATTGTTTTCACAGTATACTCGATATTCGCATAAACCAGTCGGCACGCAACGGTTCGAATAGAAAGTCAAATAAATTTGAATTTTGAATAAAAGCGGTACACTACAGAAAAATAATAATGGCAACACCCGCCAAACCGAAAAAAGTTAACAAAACCCAAGCTTCTCTTCCACATTTTACTTTTGTGAGGCAGACAGACGATAAAAAATTAAAATATAAGTGCAATCACTGTGGTCAAGAAAAAGATGGAACTAAAGCAAGCAATTTATCTTCGCACTTGAAAAACCACCCAGAAGTGTTCGCTGAAATTTGCAATGCATCATCGATTGAATACAAGCGACTTAAATTCTTGTTGGATTGCGTGGAACTTGTATCGGTAAATGGTAGGTCATTTAGTAGCCTATATGATTCTGCGATTTTGAGCATGAACGAGAACACGCTGAAGGATTTACGTGACGCTGGTTGCGAAGTTAATTTAAAAGACCCTAAATTGACTGAAGTTAAAAATCTTTTGAGCGAGATTGCTAAAACAGTTCGTGAAAGAATTACAACAGAAGCTAAAGATCGTCCATTGTCATTGTTGGTAGATATAGTCACAAAACATGGGAGATCAATTATGGGCTTCAGTTTACAGTTCATGTTGAATGGGAAGCTCAAAGTACGTTCGATCGCAATGATTCAACTTGAAGAGTCTCACACCGGAACGTATTTGGCGTCAGTGATTACAGAAAGGCTCAAAGAATTCAACATAAATTTGCGACAAATTGTTACTATAACAACAGATAATGGTTCAAATGTACTGAAAATGGTTCGGGACATTGAAGAAAATCTTAATCAAACCATTAGTACAGCAAAACATGCAAACGATCAACACGATTTGGGAGATTCAATGCGTTCAAATGTAACCGAAGCACAAGTTGATCAAGAAATTGAAGAATTTTTGCAAATCCATGATGACATGTCCGACGATGAAGCACTACGCTTACTATTTGATCGCGAACGTGATGATAATGAGCCAAGCGATGAGGTTGTTCAAAATAATGGGACTCTGTTAAGTGCAATTACTCAAAGTATCACTACGACACATGATGTTGTTGTATGGACAGTGAATGGGATTAATTGTTCACCACACACACTTCAACTTGGAATTGGTGATAGCATCAAGGCAACAACAAAAGCAAATCAAAACGTTATCAAACTGTGTCAAACTGTTGCAATATTTCTACGATTGGATTCGACTGTTCGCACAATGGAAAGGATTGATACAACGTATAAAAAACCGCGAATTAATGTGGTCACCCGTTGGGGTTCACTATTCCTGATGGTGAGTTGTTGTTTAATTACCATTTATCAGTCCAATTCACTTACATTCAATTTTTTTAAACTATAGATTGGCGATGTTTTGAAGTGCAAAGCCATTGTTGAACACTTCGAAAATGACAACAAATCATGCCGTTTGTTGCTGAAAAAGTGGAATACGATGAAACAGCTGTTCGCCATTCTGAAAATTCCATATAAAGCGACTATTAAGTTGCAAGACAAAGAGTTGACTCTTACTGATTGTTATGGTATTTGGCTAAATATGCAAATTTGCTTGGAAGGTCTGATGCGTTCGAACAAGAACAATTTTGTAATGTGCTTAAAAGAAGCAATCAAGTACCGAAAGAAGAATATTCTCAACAATCCAGTCATGACGGCGGCACTGTTTTTAGATCCTCGTTATAGGACTGAGGTAACTCGAAACGAAGAAAAATGCAACAATGCGATTGATTTTTTGGTAAATTTGCACCACCGCATACAGTGTATTAAAGGTTCATCAACAAACGAACAAGCAACAAATCTTTCTGTCGCGTCCGATTCAAATATTAGCATGGACTTTGAGGATCGCACAGCGCTTCAAAAGTATTTGCAACGTGGTTCATTTGGATCAACACCAAGTAATTCATTTGAATTGCCATTGCCAGCTGATAACGATATTAAAGGAAAACTCGAGTTTTTCAACCCGGATATTCGTGCCATTACCACAAACGTTCGCGAATTTTGGAAAGAGAAAGAGACGACTGATTACGATCTTTACGAATTGGCAGCAACCATTTTCGCTATTCCACCATCTGAAACGGAAATTGAACGGGATTTTTCTGCTTTAGATTTTATTTTAACTAAAAGACGTGGGAATTTATCGTCCGCTCACCTTGAATCCATTTTGTTGTTGTACTTAAATCGAGATTTATTTTATGAAATCAAGCAAGAAAAACTTAACGAGTTGTAAAGTTGTTAATAACAACTATAACTAATAAAGATTATCATTTTTCTAGTTCAAAATTTAAATAAAAATTATAAAAATACTAAAAAATTACGAAAAGTAAAAAAGATCATTTGTTGTTTGTATACAGAATTAAATTAAACGTCATTAAATCATTTCAACATAACCCCTAAAGTCAAATGCGTTGTATTGACACAGTTTCTTTGTATGTATTGTTCATTTAAGTTGAGTGAGCATCATGGAACATCACACAAACGCTGATGAACGTTGACAGTGTATTGTGGTTGGGCAGTTTGTTTGTATGTATTGTTCAAAATTCTCTTTCAAAAGCAAGTGCCATATATGCCAATACACTATCAACGTGCTCAGCAACTGCTTACGGCAACGCAGCGTTGTGCTTATCCAATTTGCTCAGTTATCATACGGATACTGAGTATCGCACAGAAAATCACTGAAAAAAACAGACAAAATCTGCCATCTAATATTGGCTTCAAAAAGAGATCATTGGGACAAAATGCGAAATATCTTTTTATAATCTTTTGCAAAATATTCCGTTTATTTTTTATCATGAACGAGACCCTGCTGTTGTAAAACGAGTTTGGATTTGTGTTGAATCCTTATTACATATTGTACAAATAGTATATTCGACAAGAATTGAAGAAGCGGATCTAAGATGCTTGGAGCACTGGACAGAAATACATTTGCGTAACATTCAATCAGTATTTGATAAGGAACTTACACCTACCCAAGTCAGTATAATACTCTCTTCTCACACTCTTCGTATAGTTTTATTCGACTCCCTTCTCACACTCTTCTCACTCTCTTCTCACACTTCTGCATAAAACATGTATATTGAGTGAGAGGAGAGTGTGTAATTGTATTGGTAATGCTATCACTGCTGTCACTGCATTCCAGTGGAAGTAATGTTTGTATTTTGATATTTGAACGTTTATAGCATTCGTCAGCTGTGTCAAAATACAACAGAACGACAATTGCTGTTGCAACATCTAATTCATTTTTTTTGTATACGTTCATTTTTTTCAAAATGTCAAAAATTAACAAAATCAAAAATTATCCATCAGTGGAAAAATTTATTATAAAGAAAAAAAAGAAAATTTTTTAGAGAAAAAAATTGAAGCTCAGTTAAAAACAATATACGTTTATATATGTTTCTTTGTTAGAGGATTTGAAAATATACGAATTAATAATAAATAGTTTTAGAGCGAAAAGATTTGCCGATCTATTCACCTTTGTTTGCGCTATTGACAAAATAAAGTCTTTTCGCACTGTCACATATAGTAGAAGTATACACAGTAAGAAAATATCAGCCGACGCTATCGGACCCCTGCTCAGAAGCTATGCTCTTTGTGCGTATCTTCGCACAGTCGAAAAATCGTATGGTCACTAGATGTAAAAGATGTAAAAAATGTATGAGCGCACGTACCAGTCGGTTTTGCGTATAGCTTCGGCTAATATTTTCTTACTGTGTAGGAATAAGGTACATCTGATCAAGAGTAAGTGTACTCTGTATCTTGCTTTTATATAAAGAGTTTGTTTACTTGAAAAAAAAAAAGTGTTTTATATGGAAGAGTGAACGAAAAGGAAGAGTTGAAAAATAAATTGCTTTCTTCTCTATGGAAAAATAACAATTTTTGATTGATGGCTTACATGAAAATATTATCAACGACAATTAATATGTAATTCATCAAAAATTAATTGAAACAATTTAAACATGAATTTAAAATTCAAAAAGTGTATTATTTCTCATGATTTGGTTCATCATCATTTTATCAACTATCTATCAATAAGAAATGTGTATTTGATGAGTTATTAAATATTTTTCAAACAAATAATTAAATAGTAAACTATAATATGCAAATGATACATTTTTGTACTTGAAAATATAAATAAATTC